GGGAATCCCACCTGTACATGGGGACTGGCTCTAAGAGTCCTGGGTGATGTCCACCCTCCCATCCATCCCTCTGCTTGACTAGTGGGGAGGAGGGACTTAACCTGCTCCAGCCACAGCTCTGAGCAGCTGTTTCCAGCCCTGCATGGGTGCCAGGAGCAGTGTGGAAGGCAGAGCTGTTGCCAGCCCTGCTCTGCTGGTGTGGCTGAGCCTTTCGCCATCCCTGCGCCAAGAGCCTCAAAGGGAGCTGTGCGCCCGCTGCGGCTGCCCGGGCAGGTGGGGCTGGGTGGAGGAGCAAAGCTCTGCCTTTTTCCCAGGCTCAGGTTCTGGCTTCCCCCAAGCTTGGGCCCTCTGCCATAGCTGGAGTGGGGAAAACCAGGCTTCCCTCGGTGCAAGCATCGGGCCTGGAGCTATGGCTCTGTGGGAGCTGCTGCGGAGAGGGATGTGGATCCCAGCGGCACGAGCACGGGGCTGGGGCTGGGGCTCGTGCTCGGGGCTGGAGGAGTGGGCACTGGGGGCTCTGCTGCGGTCGGGTCACTGCTCTTGGTCTCCTGGGGGGTTGTGCTGCGTATGGGGCAGGGCAGAGGCAGGTCTTGGCTGTGGCCGGGGAAGGGCTGCTCGCTGGTGTGCACTTAGAGCTTGGAGCTGTCCCAGGAGGTTGTGGGGTGAGCACAGAGCTTGCAGGACCCTCTTTTTCTTGGGCTGTCTGGCCAGTTAGCTTGCACCACGTTTCTGCTTGGGCACCTGTCTATCCTTAACTATCAAGGGAGGGAGAGGGGGAATGAGTGCCTGTGGCTTTGCCTTCTTCCTGGGACCCCATGGGTGAGGCCACCCAGTCTCCCCCTGTGCTGTACCCCTGTGCCTTGTGGAGCCCCTTGCTCCCTCCTTTGTACCCCAGTGAGCGGCAGGCGGGGCTCCTGCCGTGGGGCTCAGCTCAGCTGCCCTGTTGGATTTGACTTCAATAAAGTTTTCTATTTTTGACCAGTTGTGCCTTATTTTCCCTCCTGCCCCTGAAGATGCTCTTGCTCCCAGCAATTTCCCAGGCATATTTTCCATTTCCTTGGCCACTGGAGCACCCAGGCCCTGCAGAGCTCAGAAGTGATGCTCAGCCATCTCCACAAACCCTCCACCACACCCCAGCATGGCCAGACAGAGGCCTCATGGTGCTGACCCCTCATCCCTAGGTTGACATCTCCCATCTCCAGTCACTGCTTGGCCCTCTAAGGATGCAGCTTCCTCCAGGACATGGTCCACAAGACATGCATGTACACACACACACGTGTGGACATGGAGGCAGTCAGTGCCACCTCCCAGCCAGCCCTTCTCTCACCCCATCATCCCTCCACAGAGCTTCTCCTTCTTGAGCCCCAGCCATGTCCCACAGCCAGCACATGGAGGAGCAGATCCCTGCCACATGGTGCCTGGCTAGGCTGACCCAAATCCTCCTGGTGAGGGCTGGGAGACACCTGCTCCCGCACGCTGCAGTGCTGGAATGAGGACGCGCACGGGTGCAGATGGAGCCTTGGCACGTCAGCAGCGCTGGGGGGAAGCACCCAAATCAAGGTGCTCCCCCATCCCAGGATATGG